TAGCCTTCTAGCTTTTCTGCTTCTCGAGTTGAAAGTGGGTGACAAAAGTGCGAACACACAGACACATATGGCCTCATGCCAATATGCGTTTTTACAATTTGCATATATGCAAAAACGCATAAAATGCAAAATTAGGAATAATTTTGCTATATCTGTCAAGGTCCATGTTTATTTATGCGGGTTGTAAAATCTGATCCCTTTCATAGAAATTTTTCGCAAGGGCAGGAAAAAATTCAGGTGAACAATGGTCAATTACTGGATTGTTTATTCAGTTTGTGCGTCTGAAGAACTCATTTGCTGCTGCCTGATTCCTAGTGAATCACAGCGCTTTTTCAGGATGTCAGTGAAGCAGAGAACCTGAAGCATCGCAATTTTTCGAGCAGCGCCAGACTGAGGCGGCTTGTTTAATAACGGGGACAATGAGCACTATTTTGACAAGCTACTTTCGCGTCTGGAGCAGGATGATGTAAGACTTGTAAATTTAAAAATTATAGACTTCGAGGAAAGGTAGCATTATCAGATTTTGCTGAATTTACACGAATAACACGGTTCGGAGACGTCAGTACACTTCCAGCAAAAATGGATCGAGGAGGAGGGCAGAAGGGGGAGGAGGAAAGAAAAGAGGGGAGGGGGTTACGAGGTTGCACTGCATAATCAGGCACAGGGTTCTCCTTGAAAATTGATTGAGTCTGCAAACTTGTAGGCTATGGATGCTGGCAATTTTGCTACGGGTGCTTGCTTACTTCTTTTGCATCGAATTTTTGGAAAAACGTCCAGAACTGATTGTCCCGCAGAACTCGTTTCGAAGGCTTGTTGATGGCATCCAAATGTTCAGCGATGGTGTTTCGCCATACGATGGCGATATGGTGCACTGTGTAAGCTTCACTCTTACGCTGCCGCTAGCCGTAAAATTAGCTTCTTATCAACAACATTCCTCCCTTATTCGTTCTTTCATGTAACTTAGCGCTTATGAATTTGAACGAATTTCTGACCAGATTTGACGTCGTTTTGATAAAATTTTGTGGCCTGTAGCTGCTGATGGCAATAATAATAGTAATGATAATAATAGTAGCAATAATAAAAATAACAATAACAAGAATAATTATACTAACAAGCAGTAACAACAAAAAATAATGATGACAAACATTAATAATAACCGTAGTAACAATGAAAACAATGGTAAGTTACTATTATAGCTGTAATAATTGTGGTAATAAGTAGTAATAATTTTCCATTTTGCATTTTTTTAAACTAAATTTATCGCATCTCTTCTCATTCTGCTGATTGCAGCAACCTGTGCTTCTTTATTTGTTTGGCGCGTTCATCGGGCATCCTGCCTTGCTGCTCGCTTTTTTCGTGGTTCGTTGATTTTTGCTTCTTGAGACTTCTTGTTTTACTGCTGATCAGTCTACATAAAAAAAGCAGTGGATCTGGAAACCTTTATTTTCATTTAAGGCACTTGATGTGATAACGAGTGAGATTTTACGCAACGTAGCGATGCATTACATGAGGGAAAATGGAAGTGCAAACGATGATGTTGAACGGGTTGCTGAGTTAGTAGCCAAATGGTAAGCATCTTTGATATTGCTTGTTAAGTTGAAAGTGTATTTTGTATTTTTCCAAGTATTTATTTTCGATAAGAATCTGAGGACGCGAAATTAACCCGAGTATTTGCCAATAGTAACTATCCTCTGGCAAGACTGCCAATCGTTTTTCCTTTTGAGAGTTACTTATAACGAATGATTTTCGAAATCACAACTTTATGATTTTTCAGTTATATTCTCAATCCAGTGACAGTTGCGACATGTGCTGTTTTTAGTCTTTCAGTTCTGTATAATTTTATCA